TGTTGTCATCGTTGTTAACTGAGTTATATTATTGTGGAATTACCATAAATTATAACAATTAGATTTTTAAAGAATATTGTAATCAATTACTGATTTGTCATATAAATTATAAATGGGATAAATGTTTTTAATTGTAACACACGAGTACAGCCCTTAAACCACGTTACCTACTCTTGAATTATATAGTTTCATATAATTAGTTAACTTATTTGTCATAAATTAACAAATTTATTGAATTTGTTTTAAATACAAAATTAAATTAATTATTATCACGATGCTTGAGGTTTAGCCGCGAGTCCTGGGTCCGCGGTACGCACCAGGGATTGATTGCCCTCTACTGCCTGAAACGGGGATAGGAATTGGCTGTTCAATGTACACACCACTTGGGACACCAATATTGCGCCCACCCTTCGCCCCATTGTTGTTATCGTTGTTAACTGAGTTATATTATTGTGGAATAATGATAAAATTATTACAATTTGATTATTAGATAATATTGAAATAAATTACTGATCTTTCATAGGATTTATGAATGGGATAAATGTTTTTAATTATAACACACGAGTACAGCCCGTAAACCACGTTACCTACTCTTGTGTTCTATCCTCCCCTATAGTTTTCACTACCCTCCCACCCCCTTATTATATGTAACGCTGTTTACTATTTTCCCTAACCCTACAGTTAAGTATATTACTGATTTTCACTCAACTCTGCTTTCACTGCAATCATAAGATACAGACTGGCATTGACTGGATTGGGAAGCAGGTGGTGGTCCGGCCACCCATTGCTGCCCCACCACCACCTCATCATCCATCACAACCCCATCCGCTCATTCATATACATAATCAATACATATAATACATAATCAGCTCATATAATGGACACACAATTCATTTGAAAATCAGTCATAAAATATCACATATGAAACAATTAATAGTTTGTTAACAAAATTTTAACACAAAATATAGTTTTTTTAATACTGACCCAATTGTGGCTTTTTCTGTATGAAACCATTGGACAGGACAACCGCACCGGAATCGGCAAACACTTCAGGAGCGGTTTTTGATCCGGGATTAACATGACTAAAATATTCACTATCTGTTGGGTCAATAACGTAAGCTTTCAATTGGTTCATCACATCATCGGCGCAGACATCGACACCGAGTATATTGACAGAAGGCTCGGCCCGAACGCCGGCCATCGCTCCCGGTTTGGTCGCGACTGTGACGGGCGTCCGAACCAATGCCACAGCGATGTTGAGAACGTCGGCCACCACTTCCTGGTTGTCGGGCCGCACGTAATGGCACATCACTCTCGCCGTCGGCGCCATTTGACGAGTAGTAGCGATACTAAACTCATAGCCGATCCTAATATCAGTTGTAATGTCCATACTCTGGGCCCACACTATGTTTCCCCTTCCCATCACTTCGCACACCAATCGAGTGATAAGTTCGGTCGCAGTCGCTATGAATTTGACGTCCTGTCCGACAGTGATGTTGGTTGTGTCCGCGCGGGTCACTTGAAGGTAATTCCCGGACCGGGACTCAGCCCTCTTGGTAGTGGCCAACTGGTAAAAGTGTCCCGGATAAATATATTCGCCCTTAATTATCATTACATCTCCTCCATCTTTGGGCGGAAATAAGTCCACTTTAATGAGTCCATTGATTGGCGTTAACACCAATGGTTTGTCCTTCCATTCCTTGCTATCCCATGAATAGCCGTATTTGAGTGTCAGTTGCGGTCCGTTGTCGGCCACAGGTTTACCGTCTTGTGTGACCACTTTAATGATAGCCGTGTACTTCAATCCCGGTTTATATGTCTCCGGTTTATTTACTAACTCTGCCCACACATCCCTGTTATACGCCATCACTGTATTGGATCCGTTGTACTGTTTTCCGGTCAAACTGTCCCTCACTTGTGCCATGAATTTAATGTCAACGCCATTGGACGCCCGTATGGGTCGATCGAGGTCTATATTGTCGAACAAATGGACGGGTATTGTAGCGGTTCCGTCGATCGTGGTCTTTAGCCGGTATTTACCTGAAGTCGAGCATAAAATAATACATTAATGTACATTATTATTATCTAAATAAATACTATATTTAAACTAAACTTTATATTTAGATGTATTAAATTAAATATACAAATGATCATGAAATAGTATATACCCGTATTATAATGGTAGTCCCGCACGTTAAGAGTTAGGTCCCCCTTAACAGGCCTGCCATTGGTATCAAACGCTTTAATAGTTGCGACCACTTCTGAAGCGCTACTTATGGCCACAAATGTTGGCAACACTACCCCCACGTTGAATGTGGGCAACACATCGTCGGACACAATGAATGACTTCGTTGAGTTGCGTCCCAACGCCTCGGCAACGATAGTCCAGTTGCCGAACACCGGCTGACCCGACAGTTGCAGCTCTTCAGCGATGACACCGTTTCTCGCATACAGTTTTGTCCATTCAATGACACGCTTTCCGTTACCGTCCTATCAATTCATATGGTTATAAAATTTAACTCATTTTCAAACCTAAAATTACAAATACCTTAATATAGATATCAATCGGGATATTATTTTGTGGGATCAGCGATGGGTTGACTACAACGGCTCTCAACTGTACTTTCTCTCCGGGTTTATACATAGCTTTGTTTGTCTTAATAAATATCATCACACTTTTGGGCTCATATTTAAGCTCCGCTGAACCCGTAAAACCTTCGTCTGTTATCTCAAACGGTGGGTTTGGCTGTAGGATCAAGTTATAATCTTGATCATATTGTTTTGGCAGTTCGTATTGGTAGACTGTGGTAAAATTGGCGCCCTCTCCCTTCACCATCAAACCACAGGGTCCTTCAGGCCAATCGCCTATCGCTAGGGTTAGCACTTTGGACTCAGCCCTATTGAAAACAAGATATGCACCGGTGTGCACTTTGTTTGTCGGACAGACAACCATTGCCATCACTTTGATGGGCGCCGGGATGTCATATAACGAGACACTGATGTGGTAATCGGCGTTTGGCCGCAACGTCTTCGGGGCCACCACTGTATACA